CCCCCCCCCCCCCGCCCCGCTCCCTGCCTCTGCCGCTTCCCAGCTCATCTTCCTGCTTGATTTCCTCTACAGCATTTTTCACAATCTAAAATAATTTCATTTACTTATTATCTGTATTGCTTAACAAGAACATGAGCTCAACAAAGGAACAGACTTATGTCCACTGTTGAATGTTCAGTATCTAGAGCCATGCCTAATATACAGCAGGTGCTCAAAAAACATTTGTTGAGTAAATGAATGATGGAATAAGTGGAGGCCAAGGTGAGAGAAAACATGGTATTTGGGGGGAACTTTAAATGGTTGAGCATGGCTGGAGTACAGGTTAGTGAACAGAGGTGATCCTGGAGAAGGGAGAAGCTATAACCTCAAGAGGTTCACATGTCATTGTAATGAACTTGCATTTTATCCTAAAGGCAATAGGAAGCCACAAAAGATTTTTGAGGAAGTGAGTGGCATTACTTGATTTGGCTTTTTAAAAAAACGTGCAGCCAATGAGAGATGGATTGGAGAGGAGTAACAGTGCAGGAAGGAAGATTAGACAGGAAGACACTGCAGTGATTCAAGGAAGCAATAAAGGGGTGTGAGTGTGTAAATTAATGTAGAAGAAATGGGAGTGGAGAGAGAATGCAGACTTCCAAATATGTCACTTGGATAAAGTTTTTATATAAGAGCCTATAGAAAATAACTTCAAAGTTATTCTCACGTTGTACTTAGATTTTTTTTTAAATTAGGTTTAGTCCACTGTTTGCATATCGATAGAGAACTCTTTTCTTAGAAGGAAGTACTTTCCAAACATGGCCAATTATCAGGATCACCTTGGGGATTTGTAAAATAATTTAAGGAGGGGTAGGCAAGAATGAAGAGTTTTTTAGACATAATTCAGAGATACTTGTGAGACATCAAAGTAGGCTTTTGGGTATAGAAATCTAGAGTTTGAGAGTTCTAAGCTAGATACGATTTTGGAATTCTGGGTAAAAGGCCCTTAAGTGAAGCCATATTTGTAGATTAGATCATCTAGAGAGAACTTAGGACAGAATCATGGTGAATACTGACATTCAAGGAAAGGGAGACAAAGAGAAACCAAGAAAGGAGACTGAGTAGGAGTGGCTCTTAGGGGGAAGAAGAAAAACAGGACAGTGAGAAGAGAGTTGCAAGAGGGAGAGGGGCCAATGGTGTCAAAGCCACAAAGACCTCTTCCTGCAGCTGCCTTGTGAAAACAGTACTCCAACACCGTCTCTAGTGAGTGTTACACTTAAATGACTACCGAATCCCTGGAGTAGCTGTCTTAAAATACACGGAATTTTAAGACAAAACCGCTTGGCTGGAGCCTGTGAATTCGTATTTTCTGAAAAGCTTCCCAGGTGATTCTGACATGCAGTGGGTTTGGGAATGATTAATTTAAACCACTTGCTTAATACAACGAGAGAAATTTATTTAAAAGCACAGGACAGAGACCTAAACAATAAAAACCTAGGCAGAATGTCAGAATAATTTTGATAGCATACATTATAATCTTCCTTTGGAAGGAATAGGAGCAATTACCTAACTTTCCACAGTTAAACTGCATAATGATGCCATAAGGATAAAGTAATGCCCACAGCAGAGAATACATAGTTTCCAACTACTTAAAAACAAAAAAAGCTGGTGAATAACAGAGCTAGAATTAAATAATTTATTATAAAGAAATGTTTCTCCAAAATCTGTTTCATCAACATATAGAATGATATTTTAATGTATTCAGAATGGGAGTAGGAAAACTTTTTACATTACTGTGAAAGACAAGAATGAGATTTAGGTAATAACTTGTGGTTCTGTGCCCTAAAGAAATCTGGTTTACAAAATAGGAATGCTGATTCAACAGTGCACCAGGATGGCCAGTTGGAACTAAGCTTTACTTTCACTGCTCCAAATAAAAGGAGGAAAAATGAAATGTGAAATATACTGACTTTACAAGTTTTCCAGATGTCAAAATTGGTCTGGTTGATTCATTAATCAAGACGTTTAAAAATTCAATTTTCTACTCCTAAGTAACCAAATGTAAATTGGTGATCAACAATGAATGAAGTAAAGGTAGAGCTCAAATTCCATCCAATTAGTTTTTGAGGAGCAAGTCCTTCTCCTGGCTGAGTCGACGAGATTTCCCTTCAAGGAACAAGTACATTTTTAACAGATTCGGGAACTCGACTTGCATAGTAGTCATAATTCCTCAGTGTGGCCAGGACGCCAGCTGAGTTCATGTGCTTCACTTCCTTGTTATACTGAAGGGCGTTTCCATGGATATCGGTTAACTTGCCTATGGAAAAAACATCAATACAATGTCAATGGCTGATCGGATCATTATGTTTCTAGTTATTTCTAAGAGCTTCTTGCTTCCCTATATAATAATATCCGTTGAATTCTGGATAAAATAAGGAAGACAATGTGTGACCACAAAGGTTAAGTATTAATTCACTTGCAATTTAAGACTACAGAGGAACTTGACTAACTAAAGGCTAAATCATTATTTTTTCTCCCTGATTAAAATAATTTCACTTAGTATTTTCAATTTATACTTCTCAGTATCAATTAATTTCTCTTTTCCTGGAGTGATTACATTTCCTATTGGTTATACGCCATCACCCACGATTCCTGGTTTCAAAAGTGTTTTCTTCATTCTACCATTTATTAGTAACACTTTATTTGGTAAGAGTTTAAGTGAAGTATGTTCATAAAACATAACTGTGTTATATTACAGTCTCATTTAACATTCTAATGAGAATGGATCGTGATGAATTTAACTTCCTTGTCATGTAATATGCTGAGACAGTGACACGATAATGTACCAGGAGAAATGATAAAATAAAAATCAAGCATTTAAGAGTAGATGTGATCTGATGTCTATTTGAATTAGAAAAATCATCTTGCTATGTATATATCTGTAGTATTTTTGCAGGCAGATTAAAAAAATTCCAACTCTATGATCTTTAAGCGCTAGCACTGAGACATTTACCAATACAATATTGGCTCAAAAGAAACTAATGAGGATGATGATGAATATTTTACTTTTCAAGAAAAAAACCCCTAAAAGTATTAAAGCCATAAATTAATAAGTGTTTAATTAAATGAACTGTGTGCAGATCAAGGTCCAAAAGAGAAACTGTAACTAAAGGAAAATGAATTCACTGAAAATCTGTGAAATGCGAGGCTTAGACTGGATAACCTCTAACTTTCCTTCTATCTTTTATATCCTAAGAGTCTAGGTAAAGTAACGTTACTGAAATATCATGTCCTAGCATAATACGAAAACTGTATAAAAACTGTAATTCCCCCAAATAAAATGGACTAACCTCCCACAGCATGTAAAATGACTTCTGGAGCACAGGTATCCCACTTCTTACATCCAGGACTTGCAAATACATAAGCAGAGGCTTTGCCTTCAATCAGCTGGATAATCTGTAAGGTTAAGAGAATAATTATCCCTCAACCATGAAATAACTGAGATACAAATAAAGAGAAACTGCTTGTTTCTATCAGTATATTTCAATTCCTCTGTCAGACTTGGGTTAGTTAAAATAAGGTTTTCTTTTTTTTTTTTTTTTTTGCTGTACGCGGGCCTCTCACTGTTGTGGCCTCTCCCGTTGCAGAGCACAGGCTCCGGACGCGCAGGCTCAGCGGCCATGGCTCACGGGCCCAGCCGCTCCGCGGCATGTGGGATCTTCCTGGACCGGGGCACGAACCCGTATCCCCTGCATTGGCAGGCGGACTCTTAACCACTGCGCCACCAGGGAAGCCCAAGGTTTTCTTTTTTATGCTGTCTTTTCTTCTTACGGTAAAACCAATATATATTTGTTGTAGAAAAAATAAAGGTTTTTAATCTTGTAAAAATTTGACCATTATTATATAAAGGATACAGAAATATCAACCAGTACAATAATGTATAGGTTGTAATAAGTCCTAACAGATATGTGATGCTGACTAGTCTAACAAGCAGTTTCATAAGTCTTTGTTTTGGTATAATATCTGTTGTTATTTCTGCTACCAAAGTATGAATTTTAAAAGAGTCATCTTGGACTTCCCTGGCGGTCCAGTGGTTAAGATTCCATGCTTCCACTATAAGGGGGTGCGGGTTTGATCCCTGGTTGGGGAACCGAGATCCCGCAAGCTGCACAGTGTGCCAAAAAATAAATAAAAATCAAATCAAATCAAATCAAACAGTCATCTTACTAATGCCTGTAATATTCATACAAAACTGAGGTCACTGAGGGACTTCCCTGGTGGTCCAGTGGTTAAGACTCCATGCTTCTACTGCAGGGGACGTGGGTTTGATCACTGGTCAGGGAACTAAGATCCCACATGCCGCATGGTGTAGCCAAAAAAAAAAATCTGAGGTCACTGATAGAAACCGCATGACTCTCAACAGTAACTTGCTATCAGCCTTTCATTAGTTGCTTGATTTATTTTTTGGTTATACTGTTAAGTAATTAGTGCTGTAAAATTCAGACTTCAAATATTGAGATGAAGAGGCCAGCCTGGGAGAATAAGGAGAGCCTCAGTGAACACAAGGTAACCAGCTATTCTTTTTAGGATTACTGTATTCAATGACACGTTCAAACCATTAACCCTTGCTGCAGACTTCTGAGTAAAAGCTTTCTCTTTCTTTTAAGAAATCTGTGTTGTCTTATTATGTGCCAAGAACTATGCCAGGTATATTTTTTGAGGGAAGAGGGACTGTGGCTTTCGTCCGATTCTCAAAGAGGTCCTTGATGCAGAAAGTTAAGAACTGCCCAACAAGGTCTTTGCAAGGAGAAGAGGTGGGAGCTGTGTAGGGTGGGGACTTTGCTCCTACGGGGAATGGTACCTCCTTGGGAATAAAAGAGGTAATGGCATTTTGTAGTTATAAAAGTAGGGGCAAAGAGAAATCATATTTCAGTAACTATCAGGAATATATTTTTACTTTGAAATGTTTTACATTTTTTTTCAAAACACTACTATTTTTAAACTTCCATATTTCATCCTCTTATAAGTAAGTGCTTTCAGAGGGAGATTGCTTTGGAAGCCGCTGTAAAGGCTGGTTGAGGGATGATGACAGGTTTCACCTAGGGCACTGGCGGTTGAGATGGATGAGACATTAGGGAAGAATTAAGAAGATCTATAGGTAGGATCAGATTGATAGGATGTGAGGCAGGAAGGAGGCTAGGATGGCTTTCAGATGTCTGGCTAGTACAGTTAGAAAAATGGCGGTGCCATTAAGCAGATAGGAAGTAGGGAGAGGAACACATCTGGGGGCAGGTAGAAAGAGGATTCGTTCCAACTGGGGATGCTGAATTTGAAATACCTGATGGATGTCCTCATGACAACCAAGGGGCAATAAGATGAGAAGAGATCAGGGATGGAGATCAAATTGTGTTCCAATTCACAATGTTCTCAGGAGGATGGGAGCCTAGGTGAATGAATGGAGTAAGTATCCAGAAAGGGGCAGGCAGGCCCATTCTGGAGTCTGTAGAAGAAAGGTCTGGGAAGTAATCCAAGAGGATCCTTGAGAAAATGAGAACTGGCAAGAGGCCCGGGGTCTTATCCAAATGGCTTATCACTGAATTCTCTTAGACAAAAAAGACTTGAACCACAACATTTAAAAAAAATTCAGGGAATTCCCTGGGGGTCCAGTGGTTAGGACTCCACGCTTCCACTGCAGGGGACACAGGTTTGATCCCTGGTTGGGGAACTAAGATCCCACATGCCGCGTGGTACAGCCAAAAAAAAAAAAAAAATTCAGATGTTGCTGAAATGTGTCTTTAATGGCAAATTACAATCTTTAATCTCTTCTCCCGAACTCTTATTTCACATTTTGTAACAGCGCAGTATTTCTTTTAATAATTCAGTTGCATTTCAGGGTAGATGATGGATGGATTTTGGTACCTTATTTCCTGCTCCTCCCACCCGCAGCACATCATCAGGGTTCATAGCTGCAATGCAGTCCGTAACCAACTGGCTGTTATGGGACCGGGTGGTTGTGATGATGTGCTTCCCGGCAGGCACTTCTTTCAGCTGAAACCCGAAGGCACCTAAACCTAAAACTCCCCAGATTGTTCTCCCCAACACAGCATCTGGTCCTGCCTATGTAAATGGGTGAAACAATGGCAAAGCTTGTCATCATTTGGAGAGAAAGGTTCGCCATAAATAGAACATTTAGTTACATTAGCAACATGATTTTTTTAAAAATAAAAACATGATAATGTTATAAAGTACAAAAGCAGTATCATCAACAAAGAAATTTTCCTGAGAACATCAACTGATCATTCTCATTGTTGTTTTGGTTAATAATTGGGTTTCAGAGAGTTCCCGGGTGGCTTAGTGGTTAGGATTCTGGGCTTTCACTGCCGTGGCCTAGGTTCTATCCCTGGTCGTGGAACTGAGATCCCACAAGCCACACAGCACGGCCAAAAAAATAATAATAATTGGGTTCCAAAGGTACGGAAAGGAACTTCTGGTTATTCCCTGGAGTCTTCAGGAAAGGCAACATCACATACTGATTCCTGTTCCTTTCAGAATTATCCAACAATCTCATTACTGTATTTGAAAATAGCTGTTTGCAAAAGGTACATAATTCCCTAGGAAATGAAACACCGTGTATTGATTACTTTTCATTGTCCAAGGAACAATAAGGATCACATTACTATGGGAATAGGTAATGCTGATAATATAATAATGCTGCTATAGAGACAAAGCAAGTGAATATGCCGGTACTGAAGAGTGGCCATGTATAATGGGGTCAGGGTTAAAAGATTTTACTGATAATTGGGGTGGTAAAATGACAATGACAGTGCAATCCCAGAATCTGTATTTTCCTTTGCAGCACTCAAAGAACTTTCAGCCACATTGTTATAACTATACACTTCATATAGAAAAACATAAACATAACATAAACAAACATAAATATTCCGGTATTTCATGGAAAGTAAACCTGATGCATAAAAGATTAACACAAAGTCATCAAAATACCACTATATCAATAGAGTAGACATACAGACATATATTTTTATTTAATACTAAACATGTACCACGCACCATACTAAGTGCTTTACATATATTATCTCACTTAATCCCCAGAACAATCCCATGAAATAGTATTATCATCCTTATTTTACAGATGAGAAAAATGAGTTTTGGAATCATTCAGTAACCTGAACAAGGACTCTAAGAAGATCATAATCAAACTCAGGCTCATCTGTGTTCAAAGCCAGTATTTTTCGGGACCTCCCTGGTGGTCCAGTGGTTGAGACTCTGCACTTTTACTGCAGGGGGTGTGGGTTCGATCCCTGGTCGGGGAACTGAGATCCCATATGCCACAGGACATGGCCAAAAATAAATAAATAAAATTTTTTTAAAAAGCCAATGTTTGTCGTCACTAAACTAGTAGACTACCTCGGTTTACTTCTCAAAATGCTTTCACACACATCATCTTATTTACCCTACAGCAGTACTCTGGGTGCTGTTATAGTGAAATATGCTTGGGCTGCAGGGTTGGATTCCCTGGGAAGCGGACTCTGAGATAGGTAGGGTGTTTATTAATGACTGCCCTTGGGATCAACACCTGTGGAAGGGAGGGGAGTGGGCAGAGGGAGAAACCGAGCTGTGATGCAGACACGACCACAGCTTCAGCCAACCCCATGGGGAGCTCTGGAGCCAGAATGGCTCTTCAGAGTTGTACCAAACTGGGGAGAACACATCCCAAACTGGGATGAAATGCCAGGCCTTTACACGCCCCCAATCATCAGTCACTAGAAATGGACTGCCTTGGGAAGGGGCGTGTCACCGGCAAGGCGGCTCTTCACAGGTGAGGCGATCCCCAAAGAGGCTGAGAGCTGAAGGCTTTGGGTGGACAGCACTCCCAGCAAATGGGGCAACAGAGGAACCAAAAAACAAGCACTGGGGGCTCAGTGTATGCTTCCCCTCTTCCCTCTTGAGTTTACACTATAGGAGAGGCTGGAATCGCAAAAGTACAGAGAGGCTCTGTGTGCTCGTTATGCTTCAGCTCAATTGCTGAGACTAATTTCATGTGCTCAAGAAACCTATTTATTAATTCAGCTCTCCAGTTATTCTGAAAAAGAAAGGAAAGCATACTAAATAGAGGACATGAGCATTCTGGTCCCTAAAAACTCATATGACCTCTGTGAATGAATATGTCAGCAAAGAGGATGGGACCGTGGAATCTGGTGCCCTGATGAGGTAAATGCAATCCCATGAGGCAGCCAGCTAGCCTTCCTCTGTGCTCCTGATCTCTCAGCCTCTCTTGCTGACTCTCTCCTTCAGAGTTCCCACACCAACTGTCTGGGGGTAAAAAAGGCTAAGATTTTCACCTTACTGATGAGTTCAGTAAGATTCCTAATGGTTAAGGAGCTACCTCCAATATACAGACAAACTGGGTTTCTTTGCACTATTCCATGCTCTTTCCTTTGAGTGCTTCCCAGCTTCAGGATCTGTTAGAAGCAGTAATAAAGTCTGAACTGTAAAAAGTCTTCTATCTGGCTCAAGAGAGCAATGTAGAGCAGTGGCTAAGAGCTTGGACTGCAGTTTAGATACCAGATCTGCCATTGACCAACTAGGGCAAGTTACTTGTCTCAGTTTCCTCTTCTTTAAAACAGGGATAAAGGCTTCCTTAAAGGACTTTGGTGTATCAGAATGAGATAATGCATGTGAATCCCTCGAGTCTGTCAGTACACAGTAAGCTCTTGATAAATGTTAGCTATGATGATAATGACTTTAAATTGGACATTCAGCCTTGAAAACTACCAACAAAGCTAAGCAACTTTTCTCCTTGTTGCAACAAATTTTAAGGCATAAGCAAGAGAGAAGGAAGAGAGGAGAGAAAGAAAGTGTACAGAAGGGAATGTGGTGAAGGGACAGGTAACAAAGGAGAGAAGCAGAGCAGGAGAAAATGAGCTGGTACATGGGACAGACAGTGACTACTGGGGTACCACAAGTTGCCTACCTCTTTTCTGCCTACCAGTGCAGCCAAAAGCCTAGCTATTTTTCTCACCTTTGCTTCATTTCTGGGTTCCCTTAACTTTTGATTTTCATTGTTCTGTGGAAAATGAATACAATTTTTCTAATCTTAGAAAGAAGTGATGGAAATTGTTAACAATTCCTAAGCACTTAGATCTTTTTTTGATAGAAGATGCCACGCACTGCAATATTATCTATGAATTAAATGTCCCTATTACACTTGCTTTAAAGTTTACATGATAACTGCAAACTTGTGTCTGCATATAATACTGTATAAACATTAGTCATATTAAAAGAATTAATGGACTCTTAAGCAGTTCAATATGAGACTTTCCCAGTAATGAATGCATAAATATTTTTGCTGAATAATCGTAAGATGCACATGATTATAAATAAAAAGTTATAATCACATAAATGATATTAAAAACAACAAATTTATCTTAGAAATAGAGATTAATCCTGCTCTTAACTCAAATTGGAGATTCAGAAGTAATAGTCCCCACTCTGGTTACTTTGTTTCTCCAAAGTTCTATCAAGGTCACACTAATGTAAATACCTTAAGTATTTTATTGCAACAATTTTTTTAACATTTAATGTGATCTAACAGTATATTCCTGATTTGGAATTACATTAGCCTCTTACTTCTAAGGAAGACAATTTCTTGGGAGTATAGTAGAAAGTCAAAGCACATTAGAGAGACAAAATGAGAGAAAAGAGTACAAGAACATATTTAGTTAATGCTGACTATAATTTAGGCACTATGTAGTATTACCTGCAAAACAACATGGCTAGCCTCTTTTCTTGGTTGAAATGGTTCATTTCTTCAACGTGCTTCAAGCACCACCTGTAAATCAGGTGTCTCAATGACCAAGCTAACCAAGAGCCATATCAGTAATTCCCAAACTTTTGCTTATGATTTGAATCATAAGGCATACATAACAAATATGTGCAAATCATACAGTGTGTCTGTGTACAGTCACATACATACACACACATTCCTGGCATCAACACCCCCCAGAGGACCTGATTCAATACATCTGGGGTATGACCTGGGAATCCTTACTTTGAAAAGCTCCCCCAGACGACTGCATGTGCAACCAAGCTAGAAATCATTGGATCATATAACATTAAGAATCATATAATACCATAATTATTTATCTAATAAAATATTTTGGTACCTTTTATACTAATACCTGGTAGTTGTAATATGGCTGGTTAATAACTCCTGCTATGGCTTTTCCTTCATAAGCAATTCCAATAAGAACTGTTACATTGTCAAGAAGACCTAAAAAGAAGAAATTCGTATCAATTACATAACTTTCTCAGGTTATGACTCATCATCAGCACATCAGTGGCTCCAAGTTATTTTTGCAATAAAGGTAAGGAATTTGCAAGGATTCATCCATGATTAAACCTACTTCTGGCAAAATACACAAATTATGAGAGTTGTCCAGGGACAGAAGTAGGGACTACGGCCACTTAATTGAATTGATACACATGGTCTCATTAGGAATAATCTGTAAACCAATCAAGTAAGTCAGCCATAACTCTGCAGCCATCATCATTAGATTCCTCTGTGCCCCCCTCTACCACCATCCGACTCACCTCTGCCTGCTAGATCACTCTCGATTCCAGGATTACTCTCTAGATTTGCATTTCAAGCCTCTAAATTAAGATTTCTCACAGTGGGGCCAATGGACTAACAAGCAGCATTAGAATTAACTGGCTCAATTTTTTCAGTACAGATTCTCAGGCTCCTTTGCAGAGCTAGTGAATCAAAACCTCTGGAGGTCGGGGTTGAGAGCTGAACGAGCTGTTTAGGTGTTCTTACACTCACTAAAGCTGCCTAGAGCTCCCCTATTTCTCAATGGATTACAGAGACATTTTCACACGTACTCATTGTAGATATGTCTCATCCAAGGACAGAGAGAGTTTTTTTCTAGGAATTACGAGACAGTTTTCTTTTTTCAGCTGAAAACCAATATAAGAAAACCTACGTTGATCTTCCTCTCAAAAATAAGAATCTAAGCTTATGCTACGCTCCTAAAACCTACCACTCTGGCTCTGAGCCTGGCACTTCTCACTTTAACGTTGCCAACTTTATTTTAATTTGCTGCCTTCTAATTTTGCTCATCTTAGATAATTTCAGAAAGGAGAAATATTGCACTGTGTTTCAAAACCCATCTTTAGACGTGAGGCTGTGGAGTGAGACAGCAGTTCGCAGAGGAAGCCAGTGAGGGATGGGCAGGGGATGGTGGCAGAGCAAGGCGATACAGTAACACTTTTCATCATTTTTCTACCCAATAAAGCTGGGGGTTCAGTATAGTCCCTTCGGTTACATTGGTTTAATGTTAGTTATTTTCATCTAGGGGACATTAGGATTGTGGGACTGGTGGAGTATGGGGGGGTGGTATTTGAAGGAGATTAAATGTTTACAACTAAACATCATATATTAGTCCTACTGCTGTCAAATACAAATATAAAAGAGATACCAACCTTCAGTATATTCCTTGGTACCATCCAGAGGATCAACCCAGACCACAAGCTATAAAAGAGGAAATGTCCAAATTGAGCATATAAAATTTAAAAAATTGATTTAAATAGATAAACTAAAACTACCTTTTTTTAATTTTTGAAATTATATTATGGGTGGCTTAAGCCAATGTCATCAGTTTTGTAATAATTAAAAAATAATAGTAAAAAAGTATTTTGTAATAAAATATTAATACAACATTGTAAATCAACTATACTTCAATAAAAAAATTTTTAATATAAAATGGTTAACTTTATTGTTAAAATAAACCAATTTTACCAATAACTTTATTGGTAAAAATTTATTGTTACCTGAACACTAAACATGTGGCCATGAACATCCTGGGCTCTAGATGGTGATATAAGGAAAACTTTAAAGTGGCACCAAAAATGTTTTGTGTGGATGCTACTCATTTTTATATATAAATGTTGATTTAAGATAAATAATGACAGTCTGATTATCGTAAGGACACACGTATATGCGGCCAAGAAAAATGAATGGTTTATAAAACTGGCAGTAGCATAAAAAAGAAATCCCCTCCTCTTAGGACTTTTAATATGATTCAGGATACGTAGCCATTAACCACTAGATGCTTGATGTAAATTTGTGAGGGCATATTTCTGACGGGAGACACCACATCTTTTTTTTCTATATTGCATATCACAGAACAAAGTGCCTTACTCATAGTAAGTGCTCAATGAATGAGTGTTAAATAAATTAAAACTCAAAAATTAAAGAAGTTTGATAGTTATCTGAAGTCATAGATTTAATTTAAGCAACAATAAAAAGCAAGGGGGGTAATTTTTATGGCCTTCCAAAAATATAAGGTAGCAATCCATTTCATCTCCTTCCAGCTCCAATTACCAATGAAATGTTTTACTACCAAATTTACTAAATAACAAATTAGATTTTCTCCCTAAAAGTATTTTGTTTTTAGGCAGTGCCACGCGGCTTGCGGGATCTTAGTTCCCTGACCAGGGACTGAACCTAGGTCCCAGCAGTGAAAGCACCCAGTCCTAACCACTGGACTGCCAGGGAATTCCCCCAAAAGTATTTTTAATAACAGTTTTAGAGTGAAGAGGAAATCAATAGGATGAGAAAATGAACTTGAAGTTAATAGGTCAGACATCCCATATGGTTGCCAGGCACTTATATGTTGGCTCTGAAAGATTTCAAGTTCCTGGTTTCCCTTGTTTTATAACTACCAAGTTTTCATCATGATGGCAAATTTTATTTCCTTTACTACGACAAAAACTGAAGATTAATAGAATGTTAAGTAATAACATGGATCATACGTCTTCCTCTTTGATAGCACTGTACTGTGATGGGCATGGTTGCTTCAGTATCTCCTCCCACTGACCATCTTCAATCAACTCTTGATCCACGTCTTCAGGAGGCAGATCCTAAAGCAGAGAACACTGATGATGACCGAAGCTGTTTACAGAATACCGTCTGTCTCAGCAACAAGAAGAAATGCAGTATCATAGGTTTCACTAGTCCTTCCTGTTTACCATTTCTATTTAGAGCTTTTAAAGCACACTGAATAAAATTGCAAAAACAACCACATATGGCTCATCAAAGTTGATTACAAAGGATCCCAACTTCATTATCCTGAACAAGGATTAAAAAGAAAAGAATTTTTAAGTATTATACACCTATTTACACAAGTGACTCTGCCATCAGCTGTCTAACTCTCAAATACATGAGATGTCAATTCCTTCACCTTCACAGTGTTGGTCTTTGAATAAGTATGCAAATAAGCCTTAATTAAAAAAACAAAAACAAAACAGGAACAATAAAACCCATTTTATTCCAAAGTTCTAGAACTCTACCCATCTTATACTTTGTATGTTGAATGTCACAACAGTAACCATATCATCTATGGTCAAGAACTGACACGTGTGGCCTAGAAATAAACCAAAATATTAAAAGCAGATATTTTCTGAAAGTCCAAGAAACATGATAGTTATTGTTGTGTTAAAACACAAACATATAATGCTTGAAATCATAAAAGTAGTGTATAAATCACTAAAGGGCAATTACAAATCCATACAGTAAACAGGGATTTAAAAAACTATATGATAGTCTTACCTCTTCCCCTATAATTGTTAGTTTGGGGAATTTCCGTGCCAAAGATGAGCATATGCTCATTTGAACTAATCGGTCCGCCTTGGTCTGCAGGTCTGTTGCACAGGTCTGCAACAAAGAACGCACATTTTAGCAGAACTAAGTATGAAATAAGTTGTTCTTTGATGCCTCATGGGTGATTATCTATATCCATTTAAATTACACTGTCTGTTTTAAGATTGATCAAGCTTAACGTCATATGAGTCAGTTTCTTGGCTGGGTTTTTCTCATGGGATTTATAGTGGCTAAAGTTTGGAAAGGAGCTTTTAAATTACTTAGAATATTTTCTCCCCCAGTTCACAAATTCCTTTTATAAGATCTCTACATTAATCTTTTGCTTAAGCAGGTTGACAGACAGGAAATTCACAATTTTCAAGGCAGTTAATAATAGTAAATAACTCTTTAGTTATTTAAAAGGTATTTCTTATATGGATCTTTCTGTAAACTCCACTCAATCCTAATTTTAATAATTCAAGAGGTCCTCAGAACGATTCATTATTTCTTATTTCAAAATTTTTATTTCTAAACTATAAAAAAAAAGTGAATGGCAGTAATATTTACTACATGACTCACCTATGGCACTCAACTCAATCCATAACTCATATAGTCACACTTGTGAAAGACAGTGACCACTTCCTTGGTTAGCTTGCTTTCAGAGAATTAGGACATGTTGCAATTTATACATACCTGTTTAGGTGTATTTACACATTATTTTATCTTAAATAGCAGATCTTTTGCAATACTTCGTAGTGAGATAAGGAATGACTACGAAAATCAAACTCTTTTCTGCCACAGTGAAGTTTGCTGGTTATCTCAATGTAAAGAACAATTTTGCTAGAATGTAGTGCCACAAAGGCAGAGATCTTTGTTTTATTTTCTAAAGAACTGTGCCTGGCACACAGTAGGTGCTCTGTAAATATCTGTGGAATGAAACTACTTAAAAGAATTGTTGAAATTGAAGATTACTTACCTATCAATCAAGTTTAGAGACCACTGCTCCAGAGAAAAAAAGACACATTGATAGCCATTCAACTCTATGAGGAAAGCTCTCCCAACTCTTCTCTAGGATAAGATATTCCCTGCTCTTTCTACCAACAGTGCCAGATCTCACCATTCTAGATACTTTATGTGACAAATCTGTTTTTGCCCTGTCTCTTTTAAAATGAGGTGTCAACAAGTGGATATAAAGTACTAGAAGTGTCTGACCAGTAGAGAGGACAGTGAGGTTATTATCTTTCTTTCTAACTTGAACACTATATTTCTATTACTCTTTAGCTATCGGCTACAAAGTGGTCCATCTAATATAATCACAAGAGAAAATCAACTTAAGCAAAATAAATAATACAAAGAGAAAAATATGCAAAGATATGATCCAAAATATTGGCGGTGGTGGCCTAATAGATGATTTTGTACTTTTTGCTGTTTTTCTCCACTTCCTATGTTTCATAATAGAGAAAACAATAAAAAAGAAAAGACAGTAAGATTAGTAGCCTTCTGAAAGTAGCTGTTTTACATTGTTGGCTTGTCATTGAGCATGTATATGATCAACTAAAACCTCTTTTTCACACAAATTTGAATCAGACTCCCCCCTTATTACTTGAACATTAATATAGGATTTTATTCCTATTGTAATATCTTGTTGAATTTGGCCCACCTTTCTCAGAGTTTGCAACTATTTTGAATACTTATTCTGTAATCCAATACAACAACTAGCCCTTCCAGCTTCATTTTATTGACATATTTGATAAGTATCGTTTCTACATCCTCCTCTTCTACAGCACTTTTGAAAAGATGCATTCAACAAATTTTTTAAACTGTATTTAAGTTAATGGCTAAAGAGAAAAAGACAGTCAGGAGCAGAGTCCTACGATCTGTCAACCAGTGACCCTTTTCCAGGTTGAAAGTGAATCATGAATAAAATTACGGGGTAACATTGTTCACCTAGTTATGAGTACACCTAACAGTGGCTCAGGATGGGGGATGAGAGATATCATCTATATATATTATAAATACCTTGAATGCTTTTTGAAAATGGAAAATGAGGGACTATAACAAATTTTTTTAAAAGTTGATTCAAATCAATTTTGATTTCAAAATCAAGATACCCTGTATCTATTTCCTATACTGTTAAGCCCATAAATCTATCAAAAAAGGAAATGAGATTTATTTCACTAGTTCTTGTGATTTTTATTCTTAATTTTTAAAAGTAGTTATGTTGAATATCCTATAATTAGTTCACAGGAACTTATTTCTAAGTTGATTTTTACTTATATATAAGGTCCTTATTTTTTTTATACAAATAGCCTTAAATAGATGCTTGACTAATCATAAAGAAGCGTCTTAACTACATCTCTATTTCAAATCATTAAAATATTTATCATATCCTAAAATTTTCCCACTTGGGCAAAATTACAATACAATCTTCCTTAAAGATTATGACAAAAAGTCAGTATGTGGAAACTTACACTTAAAATTTGTAATGTGAAATAATCATCAAATCTTGTGGAAGAAATTATATTTTAAACTAGAACACATGCACAGTGGGACTTCTTTTAAGAATCAACTACCACTATAAACTATCTTTCTGTTAATTTACCTAAGTTTTAAATTACCATACTGGAAAGAAAACCTTTGCTTTAGGTTTCTTTTCCATGCAGAAAAGACATTTTAAAGCTTTCTATATAGGGGATACTTATTTAAATGCCAGATGTTACCAAACATGTCAAGTTCACCAAGGATTGCACAGCTTTGCATGAACTAGATTACTTCAGGATATAAAGCTTGGTTCCACTGTTCTGGAGCTAGACAGCGGTTAGAAGGCCCAGTCATATAAATAAAGGTTTTGGAGGTAGGAAGTCTGGAGTCCTCTGCAGAGCAGAAATGGAGCCCATTTGAACTAAGGGTCTTGCAATCTCCATAAGGGAGCCATTGACTATTTCAACTATTAAAGTCTGTCCAGATTATTATATCCTTTTAGCTAAACCTCAAGGGACAAAAACAGAGTTGGTATGAAATGAGACGAGACTTTCAGTACCTTCTCCACGATACCCAGGTCTCCTTCAGCAATAACACGCCTGACTATCGTTCCTGCCTTTTGAGCAATAGAATATGCTGAAGCCACCAACCGCATCAACACAGTGTGACTGGAAGCCATGATGTGCCCTAAAGGAAAATCGAGAGAAATGTTATGTTACTTTCAAAGCCAACTGCTGGTTTCATTTACTTGAACTCAATTCAACATATTGGTATTGAGTGTTTACTTGAGACTGCTTCAATTAACTGTATAGATTCTCTAATAAACATTTACTAAGAGAGACTTGGAAAAAGACTCCATTTCAGCATTAGCTCTCCCAATAAATTCTATAGTATTCTTTTTCTCTGCAGATGGGACATTTTGAGGCATGGGGGTAACTGGCCCAGGACTATAAACATGTGAAAAAGTTTTATGTATGACGAGTGTAATGTACAAAAGCTGTGGACGTGCTGCAGGGGCTAAAAAATAAGGTATAATACCTGCCCTTAAGGAGCTAATATTTTGGTGGGCTGAGGGTAAAATACTGTAAGCTAATGTCTATAACATAAAACTGGTAAGTGCTGACAGAGGTATGAAGAGCATAAGGGAAGTAATTAAAGTAATTAAAAAGGGGAGGGACTGCATGTGATTACATTTAGTTTCTGAAACTCAATGAATATTCCTTTAGAGATTAAATAAAGTTTAATCTGCTGGTTATTGACTACCATCCTTATCAGTAGCAAAATAAAGAGAACAAGCAGGATAACCACTGGACTGAAGACCAAGCATTTGGAAAAGTAATGAGTGTCAAGCAGCCCCTGGCCGAATAAAAAATATGAATAAAACAGTCTTTAGGATCAAGTACTTTCCTTTTTGAAAATACAAATTCAAATCCTGCAATTTTATTGACTGCTTTGATGCTGGGATACATCACCCAGATTCCCTCTGGGGTTGAAGGACTTACTTCCCCAGCTGTTGAGAGGGCTGCCAACAGATGGTCTTTGGCTGCCACCTTTCTTTAGGAATTTGTCTGCTGAGAAGAGTCAACAGGGGAGTGTAAAGGCCACTCCTCACTCCAGCTGGGCTGCCACCCCAATGCTGCTGGGCCTTCCTAGCTTCCAAATTCCCAGTGGGGTGGGCTGAGCCTTAGTTGGGACTGAATCATGGTCCAACTGCCCTCATCCCCCATCCTGAGCCACTGTTAGGTGTACTCATAACTAGGTGAACAATGTTACCCCATAATTTTATTCATGATTCACTTTCAACCTGGAAAAGGGTCACTGGTTGACAGATTGCAGGACTCTGGTCCTAACTGTCTTTTTCTCTTTAGCCATTAACTTAAATACAGTTTAAAAAAAATTGTTGAATGCATCTTTTCAAAAGTGCCGTGGAAGAGGAGGATGTAGAAACGATACTTATCAAACATGTCAATAAAATGAAGCTGCAAGTCCTTAACTTCCTTATAGCATCTCAGGTTACATCCACTGTACTTCCTTCTCTACCAGTTTTACACCTTCTGGGTTGTAAAACACTAACTTTTGTAATCATGTCTCTCTGAAAGCTTATCAAAAACAGGGATTAAAGGCACAGGCACTGAAGCCTACTTCCTGTGTTCAATTCCTAGCTCTGGCACACACTAGTTGTATGACCTTGGGAAAGCCACTTAAATTCTCTGTGCCTCGACTGGTAAAATGGAGCTAGCAGTAGTATTAAAATATAGAGTCATGGTAATTATTAAATCAGTCTCTGGCACAAGGTAAGCACTAAATAATGCTGGCTAACCATTATTACAATGATTATTCTCATTGCTGGCTACCCTGCAGGGACATTAGGGCAGCGTTAAGGGCAAAAAAAATTCCTATAGCTTCCACAACATTATTTTGACTCTGAGGATATAATATTAGCAATATGACCCAGAATCACAGCACAGGTTCTTTTTCATAATGTTCTGGGCTTGAGGCTTGGAGTATGAAAAAATGTTGTACAACATTTAAGGCAATCAACCTAATATCCTATCATTTAAGGAATCTTTACAGCTGTCAACATGGCTAGTTCAGAAGGACAAAAACTATAGGAATCAATGATCCATTTCTTCTCATAGCCTGGGAGAAGTATCTTGAATTCAATATAAAGGTGGTGAGCATACGAGGATTAGGTTCTTAAAATAAATGATGAAATGGGAACCCAGGGGGAGTGCAGTAGTATCCAAGTTGAGGAGATGGAGCTGGGTGTCTGCAGAGGCCAAGATGATAGGAGTGTGCAGGGCAGAGTACCAGAGAGACCTCTGGAGATCTGCTAATCAGTGCAGGCAGGTGAGGAAACTACCTGAAGCCGGGGCATGCACCTCCCGAAAGGAAGAGTATGTGTGATCTTCAGAGCTCATACGGCTTGGGAGCTCATGAGCCCACTAGCCCGTGGGAGACCTCATCATTCACAAGACACTGGTTAGAGTAACACACATTGTGGGTGGGAATGTAAGAGGGTGCAATTACTTTGGGAAACAGTTTGGCTGACCCAGCATTCCACTCCTAGCTATTTGCCAAGAGAAAAAAAAAGTATTAAGTCCTCACAAAGACTTCTTCATGAATTTTGTTTGTTTGGTTGGTTTTTTGTCTTTTGTTTTTTTATTTTTTGGCCACACAGCACAGCACGTGGGATCTTGGTTCCCCAGCCAGGGATGGAGCCCGTACCCTCTGCATTGGAGGTGCAGATTCTTGACCACTGGGCTGCCAGGGAAGTCCCAAGACTTCTTCATGAATGTTTATAGCAGATTTATTTGTGACAGACAAAATCTGAAAACAACCCAAATGTCCCTCAACAGGTGAGTGGATAAACAAATTATATCAAATTATACACTTTAAATATTTACATTGATTGTATGATAATTATACCTCAATAAAGCTGCCAGAACCATAAAAAAAAAAAGAAAGATAAATAAATAAATAAATGGTGAGTTCCCAATCAAAATACTAAGATAATTTATCTTTTGGAACTTGACTATAACAGAGAAAATTCTGAAAAAAAAGAAATGAGCATATATCAAAATATGATATAAAACTATAGTAATTAAAGGTTTAGTCCTGGGCAGAATTTGAGAGACAAATCAATGCAATCAAATAAATTCCAGAGATAGATCCAAATACACTAAAGGTGATAATTCAAATCATGGAGGAAAGTTAATTGTGCAAAAAACGGTGGGGACAATTGCTAATCTTTTAAAAAAGTGTTGGAATCTTTTTGCCTTCTTTATATCAATGTATATTCCAGATCAATGCATGATTTTAAAAGAATGAAACTATAAAAGTATGGGGATAAAACATGAGTGAAATGTTTTATAAATTTGGAAAAGCACTTTTAAACATGACTAAAACCGAGAATCCATTATATATTGATAAATCTGAAGGCATAAAAATTAAAATGTCTATATAGCCAAAATACTATAAACAAAGCAAACAGATGAGTGACAAAATGATAACAAAAATTTGTATCACATACTAGACAAATGTGCTAATTTTTGTTACATAAGGGGCTTACATGTATCAATCTGTAAAAGATGAATGATTCAACAGAAAAATGTGCAAGTGACGCCAATAGGCAATACTTAGAAAAATAAAACCAAGACCATTAAATCGTGAAATGCTCAATTTCACTAATTAGAAAGAAATGCAATCTAAAACAATGAGTAATGATTGTTCATATCTAGGACTGGCATAGATAAGAAAGTTTGCCCAGTGTTGGCTGGAGTGTGAGGGAAGATCCTCCTGAGCATTATTAGCGAGGATGTAAAGTGGTGAAACCGCTTTTTTGAAAATCTTATTAACAGTAAAATGTACACATCTTTTAAACTAGCAATCACATTTTCAGGGAATCTAAATAAATAAAGCAAGTCTACAACCAGAAAAGGCAGTAGGAAGAATGTCTGCTATTTTAACGAAATTTAATTTTAGGCGTAAGACAGTCTCTAAATTTGGATGCACTAAAGAACCCACGGTCTAAGTCTGCCTTGTTATTTCAACAACATATGGCCATAAAAAGACCCCGGGGCACGAAAATAGTAGTACAAGTAAACAATCAAGAATCTAGGTCCGATATCGGAATATCTGGAGAAGTACTCTGATTTGCGTAATTTTTTTTAACATAAATCCTTCGAATCTCTTCATATCTGTGCAGAGGGGTGGAGTTAGGAGACCAATAAACTACTCAGGCCCTTGCGCTGCCCCGCAGGAGATAAAATTACTTACAGTGACAAGACTGGCACCAAGTCAGACGAAGGAGACTTCAGGGGTAACCAAAAAAGCGTTACCAAGCAACAGGTCCCCCGCAGCGTCCAGTACAGCGTTTACCCTCCGGGGATAGGTCATCAAGACTAAAACTACCTCAGCTACTGAGCATGCGGGAAGTTCGGCGCAGGCGCAGAACAGGTACTTTGCCACCGCCCGGTCTGACTTCAGACCCGCCGGAAAGCTCCACTTGTCCGTGTTTTCTCCAAGCTTTCCAAGTACTCCATAGGCTCCAGTCCCCTGAAGTCAAACCGAAAGGTGTATTAAGTAATCATTCTGGTTTCAGGTGTCTTCCAATCCACTTTGTGCGCACAGTTTACTGTTACGATGTTTGTCGGGTTAGTGATACTGCCCCGTGGCGGCAGGCGGCTACTTAACCTCGAAACCCTACGAGTCCGTGGACTGGCTTCAGGTGGTCCACGACGCCCCTACCTCTGTTCCCCCTAAGAAAACTTTATGCAGAAGTGTGTTACTAGCGTTTATTTTTTATTTTATTTTTTTAAGCATTTATCAGATTCCTGAAAGGGTCTGTGACCCTTTCATTCGGCTACTGATTAGTCCTGGGAGATTTTTTTCTCTTCCGGGTCGGATGTACCATATTAATTATTTTTGTTTGTTTTTTGAAGCACAGAAAAAAAAAAAACACCTAATTACGACTTTTATTGCACTGCCAAAAGTAAAAATAAACAAGCAAAAACAAAAATTGCCTGTTTATTCATTTTGGCTTTCACCATATATTTAAGGAGCACACTTCTTGTGTCTGCCTGTATTTCTGTGTCCATGTGGGAGCCGACCTGCGGTGAGAAGAGCAGAGCGAAGAGGCAATGATCTTTTTTTTCAGTACTGAAAAGCAGGGCACTGTGATTAAAATATAACAACATAAAATGACAGAGTGAATAGCAAACATTTCAGTTATAACAACAAATGTAAATTGTTTAAACTCATCCATTTAAAGACAGAAATTCTCTGATTAATTAGAAAGCCAAACCCACTGTTTCATCATAGTAGAATTCAGGGTAAGAAAAACTATCAAAGGGAACAGTCTTTTTTTTGTTAAACGTATTCTTTATATTAATAAAACTGCTTTATTTTTAAAAAATTTTTAAATTAAATAAATAACCCATCACTACATTCTCGTTGCTAAAGAAGAAAAACAATCGAAAAACCCCACAAAAATCTGTCCAAGCCTTTTTTTTTCTTATTTTCCTAGTTTCATATGCTTTATTTTATTTTCACTTAAAAAAATAAATTTATTTATTTTTATTTTTGGCTGCATTGGGTCTTCGTTGCTGTGCACAGGCTTTCTCTAGTTGCGGAGAGTGGTCTTCTCATTTTGGTGGCTTCTCTCATTGCCGAGCATGGGCTCTAGGAATGCGGGCTTCAGTAGTTGTGGCATGTGGGCTCAGTAGTTGTGGCACACAGGCTCAGTAGTTGTGGTGTACGGGCTTAGTAGCTTTGCTGCATGTGGGATCTTCCTGGATCAGGGCTCAAACCCATGTCCCCTGCATTGGCAGGCGGATTCTCAACCACTGCACCACCAGGGAAGCCCCATTTTTTTAATTGGGTAAAAATTGCATTAAATTCTATAGTGCTATACAATTTTCAAAAATTTTGCACATGATTTTGTATAATCCCATAATAACCTTTTTCCCCTACTCCTATATTGCCCCTTCCCTTTCCGCTCTCTCTGCTGGTAAGCACTAGTTTGCTGTCTATATCTGTGTCTGCTTCTTTTCTGTTTTATTCACTAGTTCATTGTATATTTTTAGATTCCACATATAAGTGATATCATAACTGTATTTGTCTTTCTCTCTCTGACTTATTTCACTTAGCATAATGGCCTCCAAGTCCATTCATGTTGCTGCAAACGCAAAATTTCATTATTTTTTATGGTCGAGAAGTATTCCGTTGTATATAGACATAACACATTTTATCTATTCATCTGTTGATGGACAGTTACGTTGCTTACATACCTTGACAATTTTGTAAGTAATGCAGCTATGAACATTGGAGTGCATGTGTCTTTTCCAGTTAGCGTTTTTGTTTTTTCATATACATACCCAACAGTGGGATTGCTGGATCATATGGTTGTTTTGTTTTTAATTTTTGAGAAACCTCCATATTGTTTTCCACAGTGGCTGCACCAATTTACATTCCCATCAACAGTGTAGGAGTGTCCAAACCTTCTTGGAGCTTCTGTCCCCAGATTGGAATTTTGCTTTATCTTTCCTGATAATGCAGAGCCATACTGCACCATCTGGTTTTGTAGGTTAGACAATTAGGAAAACTCTAAGAGCACAATACTTACAAATTTTTTACAATGTTTTCCCCACTACTTTACAATTGTTTTAGCTTCATCTAATTCAACAGCAGTTCTTGTTTTTTAGAGACATGCTTTTACTAGATTCTTAAGAACATCAGCTTAGTTTTCATTAAAAAAAAAAAATTGCTTTGGGAATTCCCTGGTGGCCCAGTGGTTAGGATTTTGTGCTTCCAATGCAGGGGGCATGGGTTTGGTCCCTGGTCAGGGAATTAAGATCCTGCATGTGGCAGGGCCCAAAATTAAAAAAAAAAAAAACTGGTTTCGGGGAGAGTGTGGTTAGTGAACAATTTTCACTTGTGTGCTCTTCTGTAACTCCCAAAGTTTTGTAATTAGAAAGAAACAATAATTTCTATTAAAAAAAAAAAAAACTTACCAGAGAGCAGTATCAACAAATGGCTGCCATTACATGGAGTTCTAGTTTGAGAAGACTTTTACTTACACAATCTCATTTGATTTTCATAACAACTGAGTTAAGTCAGACCATTTATTTTATTATGTTACAAATAAGTATAACAAAATTTACCATCCATTGGTTTTTATAATTAAATTGCATAATTACACAGCAAGTACAACTGGCATGAATAAGTTCAAGGATAAACACAAATGACTGTGAGCCCAACAGGTGGGAAGAGAAGTGTGCGGGTGTCCTAGAGAGTAGCCTTCTGCTCTGATAGCTCAGTGTACCCTCAGTGCAGGTTTTAGGAGTAAACAGAGAGTACTGTTGCATTCAACAACATGTTATGTGGAGGTAGGTTGTACTCGCTAAAGCGGTGCTTCCCAGTAAGGTAGCCATTAGCCCCATGTAGTTGTTGAGCACTTGGCAAGCTCCTAGTCCAAATGGAGATGTGCTGTATGTGTAAAATACATAGCACATTATGAAGACTTAACATGAAGAGAAAGAATGTGAAATATCATACTTACAATTTTTGTTAATTACCTGTTGAAGTGATAATATCTGGGTTATACTGGATTAAAGAAACTATACTTTCTAAAAAGGCAGGCCGCTGTGATTGAAATATGAGCCGGTGGCGCCTGCCCCATCTCCTCCGGCCTCTGGGTATGAGCCCCGATCCGGGATGGTTGCCGCGGGGTCGCTGACGTGGCCCCGCCCCCTGCGCCTCCCCGCCCCTTCCCCGCCCCGCGCTTGCGCACTCCCGCTAAGGCTTGCGCAGGTGCTCTGGTCTCCCTCTTCCCTACAGTCGGGCCGGAAAGTAGGCCCCGGCGCCTCTCCGGAGCCTGGGGTTGGCCTGACTCGCCATGCGTTGGGGGCTGCGCCCTCGCGGGCCGGGAGCAGCGGCCCTGGCCGTGGCCCGGAATTTGTGGGTGCCGCCCCGCCTTCCTCGTCGGCCTGGCTGGCGAGGGGCGACGAGGAGGCTTTTGGTGCGGTCAGTCACCGGGGCCAGTAACCAGCTGCAGAATTCGAGTAATGGCAGCTATCGGGACACGGTGTTGCTGCCGCAGACCAGCTTCCCCATGAAGCTGCTGGGCCGCCAGCAGCCCGACACGGAGCTGGAGGTCCAACAGGTACGGGCCGGCCTGTGCGCGGCGCGGGCCGGGAGGGGGGCTTCGGGAGGGGGGCTTCAGGAAGGTGGACACGGGCGTTTCCCGGAGCCACGCCTGGGCCACTCACACCCCGGGCGGGGCGAGACCCGGCCGCAGGCTCCGGGCCCTTTTGGGCCGGGGGTATTGCGACCAGGTCAGTGGAAATCATGCGCTTCCCACAGGTTGTATTGGGTGAAAACAGAAGTGCAGAAACCTCTAGGCAAGTACCATAGAGGTGGCCGGTTCCAGAGCGGAATGCTAAAGGGGAACCAGCGATGCTCAGCACGGATGGAATAGAAGTCCCAGTTTTAGCTTAGACAGAACCAGTCGAATTTGGACGCTTTTCCAGTGGATTTTAAAAAGTAAATTAACATGTACACATATAAATAAAAATTCGATTATGAGAAGTTGAAGCTCACTCTTGTGGTATCAGTAGGTCCCTAGTTGGAATTTCGGCTTGTTTGAAAGGTCAGGTAGCTGTGGTTACTTCCTCAGAGTCCACTTCTTAAACTGTGCCTCTGTCTCCTGTATTAGACTGAATTTTCTAAGGGCAGAGATTCACTTGTTAATTTGTGTAATTATAGAGTCTTTAAAATCCCTGATAGTTTGGATATATTGTCTAAGTAAATATGCTTAGCATAAATATTCTTATGACAGCTCTCAGAGTTCTAGACTCACAAACCTGTTTTGGCCATCTAATTTTTTTAAGTGTTTTATCCAGTACCTTCTGTATTTCTGGAACTGTGACAGTTGCAGATATTTTCTCATATAATCTTCACACCAGCTTGGTGAGTTGGATATTATTAACATTTTTTTCAAATGAGGGAATAGGCCTACAAAGGCAAAGTGACTTGGTCAAGGTCACACAGCAAGTGGGGGAAGGAGAGTGGGATTACAATCAGTGTTATTCCAAATTAAGAGAGTGGCAAGCGTTGAGGCCAAAGGATAGCAGGAATAAGATGTGAGTGTGTGTGTGTGTGTGTGTGTGTGTGTGTGAAATGGGGGATCTACAGGTCCTTCAGCATGGAGTGGAGGGTGGGGAGTGCTGAGAGACTGCCCTACTAAACCTTTGTAGGGTCCTGTATATGTTTATAAAGCACTTAGACTTTAAACTGAAGTCTACGGAGAAGCTATTCAAAAGTGTTAAAAGATGAATACTCAGATGTGCATTTTAGAAACCTCACCATTTGTGTTTTAGAGTTGAATACATTAGAATGG